AAAAAAAAAAAAAAAAAAAAAGAGAAAGTATCGAGCAGTATCGAGATATGTATATTTCAACGTCTACTCGACCCTCGATTAAATCCAAATAATAAACTTCCAATAGATTTTATTTAAACAGAATTTCAAAAATAAAATAATTTGCATGCAATTATTCGAAACGAATAATAATTATCCATTCGTGTTCGAGAAAAGGGAAGAGAGAAAGGGAAAATTTCACCCACCTTTGGACGGTGATCTCTTGAATCCTCTCGTGCAATTCTCGGCTCGGTCGATCGTCCAATCTTCTGTAAGTCGAGGTGGACGTGGCTGAGGCAGGCGGGGGTGTTTCTGGTGACAAGAAGGTTTGCGCGGGCCCGACTCCCGTGCCCCTTTCCACGCTGCACGCGGAGCTCAAACCCCTCGACTCTCTTCGAGGGAAGGAGGGGAGATCGAATCGAACGTGAATGTGAAAAGGAGAGAAGAAGAGAGAGGAAAGAGAAAAGAATTAAAATTCGAAAAATGTTCGAGTACGTACTGGAGAGGATCACGGTGCCTTCTCGTCTTCTTGTCGCGGACGTAATATGCGATAACGAGGACGAAAATGGCGGCGATGAACGCGCATGCGCAGCCTATCGCCGCGTAGAACACTTGGCCGCCGGGAGAGGAGCCAGAAGCGGCCACGAGGACCTCCTCCGGCCCCGCAGCGTTGCTCTTATCCTTGAGACATATTTTCTTCCGCCTGAAGTCGAGGCTGGTCGTGTTCCTCCTCGACAGGGAGACGTTTATCCGAAGGCTGAGGTCCACCTCGGCGTCGTACGGGCCGCAATGGAGGGCCAGGGCCCACGTCTGCAGCCCACCGACCGGGATTTCACCGGCCTGGGATATATTTAGGGAGCTCGTCAACGCTGACGGGTTGCTGATGTCCACCGACATCGTGTACGGCAACTGGAACATTTCTTCAATTAGTATTCGTTTCGTATACGATCGAGGAGAAAATTGTAATTGAGTGTTGAGATCCGTATGTATTTCATCGAAACTGAGGTTGAGATTGTAAGAAAGAAAAGGTAAAAGGTTATTCGAGCATTTCAATAATTATTTTTTCATAAAGTTTAAGTAAAAGAAATTTTTCAAGAGATTTTTAATCGGTCATTTTTTTCAACTCTATCGATGAATTTGCCAACTAATTGCGAATAATTATATTATTGCCAAAGGAAGTTGTATGAAAATATAAACGTTTATTCAATTATTTAAAGTAACTTTGTTCGAAATTTTTAATATATTGAATTAATATCGAAACTTTGTCGACGAGATCAGAATTTGCGAGCGAATAATTATAATGTTCAAACAAAGTTGTACGAAAATATAATATGTTGGAAATTTTTAATTTATTTAATCCTTAAATTCCGAGGAGATAAGAAGAACAAGTAGAGGAAAGAAAGAAAAGAAGAATCGTCCTGAAATTGCGAATAATTGCTAAACAAGTAATGCCAAACAAAGTTGTACGAAAATATAAAAATTATTCAATTAATAATACTCAAAGTAACTTTGTTCTCTGAAGAGATAAGAATTTGCAAATAGTGAATTGCGAATAATACCAGACAAAGCCGAAATTGTAAATATAAACATTATTCAAATATTTTAATAACCAATACCAATTGCTAAAAGTAAGTTTATTCGAAATTTTTAATCAATCACTTTTTTTAACTTATTTGATTAATATTCAAACTTCATCGACGAGATAAAAAAAGAATTATTTTGAATTTGCCAACAAATTGCGAATAATCGTAATGCTAAAATTGATTAAAAATATAAATGTTCGAAATTTTTAACATATTGAATTAATATCGAAACTTTAAAGAAATAAGAATTTGCGAATAATGCCAAACAAAGTCGAGATACGAAAATATAAACGTTATTCAAGCATTTTAATAATTATTCAAAGTAACTTTATTCAAAATTTTTAATCAAGTCAATCACTTTTTAAATTTATTGGATTAATATCCAAATTGACGAGATAAAAAAAGAATCGTCCCGAATTTGCGAATAAAGAATTCTAATTTTCAAACAATTATCAAAATCATAGTTGTAAATATAAACAGTTATTTAATATGTATATGTATATATGTATATATGTAATAATTACTCAATCTAACTTTGTTCGAAATTTTTAATTGAATTAATACCCAAACTCCATCAACGAGGTAAAAATTTGCTCACAAATTACGAATAATCGTAATACCAAACAAAGTTGTACAAGAATATAAATATTCTAAATTTTTAACTCATTGAATTAATACCAAAATTCCATCGACGAGATAAAAATTTGCGAGAAAATTTAAAAAATAATTGTAATGCCAAACAAAGTTGTACAAGAATATAAATATTCTAAATTTTTAACTCATTGAATTAATACCAAAATTCCATCGACGAGATAAAAATTGCAAATAATCGTAATGCTAAACAAAGTTGTACAAGAATATAAATATTCTAAATTTTTAACTCATTGAATTAATACCAAAATTCCATCGACGAGATAAAAATTGCAAATAATCGTAATGCTAAACAAAGTTGTACAAGAATATAAATATTCTAAATCTTTAACACATTGAATTAACACCCAAACTCCGTCGACGAGGCAAGAAAAGTGGTAAGGGGAAGAAAAAGAATCGTCCCGAATTTGCGAGCAAATTGCGATTTCACGTGGCCCGCCGCGACCAAGTTAAAACGAACGCCACGTAAACCTCAACCTCCCTCCGTTCCTCCGTGTCACGCGCGCACCTGTTTCCTCTCCGAGATCTCCAATTTTCCGGAGAGGAATCCGCCGAAAAAAAAAAAAGAAAAAAAAAACCTCAGAAAAATTCCTGATTATAATTATATTCGAATTATAATACGAAAAAGAAAGAGCAAAGAGAGATTAACGGAAATTAGAGATTAAATATATATAACCACTCCTTTCTTCTCTTTCCTCTTCTTTACCGACCGAGAAAACGACGACGACAACGAGGAAAATGGAGGAAAATGGGCGAGGAGGTGAGTCGCTCTCGAGTAATCGCGGCCGGAACGTTGAACCCTTCCTACAATATCTTGAAACGTAGCGCATTCTCGGAAGACAATTTGCGCTTGGCAAAGTGAATCCGGAGGACCGAGAGGAAGGGGGAAGGGGAGGGGGGGCGAGAAGGAGAAACGAGGCGAGGAGCGGAGGGGGAAGAGTTAGAGACGGAAGAAAGAGGAGAGGTCGGGCTTCGAAGTCGAAGGAAGAGTTGGCTGATTACCAGCTTGCAACGCGATGATCGGTTCTCAACTAGCCGAGGAGAGAGCGAGAGAGAGAGAGAGAGTGAGGCCAACCTCGCTCGTCAACCTGGCTCTCCAACTTGTCGCTACCACGCTACACGCTTCACGATCCTCCTCCCGCTTGTATACAGGCGGTATACGCTACTTCGGCTCGCGGTCTTTTATGACCAACTACGTGCTGACAGTGAATGCCTCTGTAAACCGGCTAAACCATTCGGTTTAAACTGTCGGGAATTTTTTATCACTTTTTTCCTTTCTCTCTTTCTCTCCATTTTCCGACAATAATTTTGAAGAAGAGGAAGAGAAACTCGGCAAACAACGAAGGATTTCTCTCGAGAAACTCTCGGGGCAAATATTTTATTTGGGGATAAAACGAGGAGCTTCCTCCCCCCTCTCTATATCTCGAGGATTAGAAATATCGAGTTTAATCGAGATAGAAATTATCATCTTATGTCGACACGATCGAGGAAGAGGGGAAAAAAATAAATACGAAAGTATCAGCTTCGTTGTACGTGCGTAGGATGGTGCGTAGAAATCCCATAAATTTTCGTTCGAGGGAATGAATTTGTCGAGGAGAAGGGGGGGAGGGAGTTGGAAAGCGGTTTGATTGGAGCGGATAGCTTTGGCGCGGTTAAGTAGCATTCGGGACACTCGGTTTTGTCGACGGAGGTGACGGATGTCTCGACGCCGGCCATCAGTCTCCTCGCGTTTCTTCCCCTCCCCCTCCTTCTTCCACTTCCTTCCAACCCGGGACAACTCGAAGAAGTGGCTGGACCACTTTGTCCTAGTACTCGGATCCCTTCCTTCCTTCCTTCCTTCCTTCCTTTTTTCTCTCCTCTTCCTCCTCCTCCTCCTCCTCCTCCTCCTCCTCGCGCGCATCGCCGACGAGTCAATCCGACACCGCGTCGCATTCTGTCCACTTTTCGCCACCACTTTGTCAAACCATCCGTCCGTCACGAGGGGATGGAGACAGCGTGAATAGCATTCCCCCCTCCCCTTCCCTCCCCTCCAATCGACACTAATTATCCATTTCTCTTTTCTCTCTCCAGTTAGATCTTTTCGAAGTCGAGTCCGTCTGTCGATCGATTCTTCTTATCTCTGAGAGATAGATAGATAGATAGATAGATAGATTGATAGAGAGAGAGAGAGAGAGAGAGATTATTGGTTAACTCCTTCCAAATTTGCAATTTTTAATTATTAGATTTATGCGCAACGTGTATTATAGTATATAGTTTAAGTCTTCATTTTGTATATTATTTTTGCAAATAAACGTTCGTTAAACTTTTGGTTGAATAAAGTCCGGTCCGATTATTAATTTCCTCGACTTTATTAATCCTTACCGAGCACGGTACAAAACTCTCTTTCTCTTTGTCTCTTGAGAAAAGGTGCAAGTTGGCAGGAAGATATCCAACAATTTCGCGTCTCGTGGAAAACACTTAACGAATTCATTTCCACGAAGAATACCGGGAGGGAAACCGGTGGAAACGAATCCGAGAAACGAGACGAGCCCGACATGCCTCGATAATCCGGATAAGTGCGTCTCGCAAGGGCTTGGAATGGAATAAGGAAGGAGCGAGAGGTTGGAACGAACGGCGAGTAACCGTTCAAGTCAGAGGATCTCGGGTTCTCATCGTGCACTCTCTTTTTAAGTTAACGAAGCGAATCCCCCTGTGTCGCGATCGAGTCGTCAAAGAAAACGCGAATGGAGGAACAAAGCGCGCGAAATATATATATATATATATATATATATATATATAGATTTGTTCGAGCGGTAGTCGCTTCTTTTCATTACTTACACGCCGTAACGCGTTTCCTTAGCCGCTTTTTAAAGCGAAGGCAGGCTTTTTAACCGAGCTTTTCCCCTCCCCCCCCTCCCCGAGAATTTACGTCGTTTAAGAAGCGAATCATTTTCAAAGAAATTACATCAAAGACCTCCTCCTTCTTCTCCTCTCCCTCCTCCCTCCGCAGGAAGCTTTGTTTGAAACTTACCGGCCTGCCGGCGAGATTCTCCCAAGTGAAATGCAGCTTGTGAACCTGGGCTGGCACCGGGACGACGAATTTAATCGCGTACTCGTTTATAACGCCTTCTCTTACGTAAAACAATTCCGCCTGCAGACCTGTGAAACGAAACCAGAGACGTTTTATCGATTAAAAGTGCCATCCAACGAGCGGTAGCTGTGTTATATCGCTGTTATATATATATATATAAGGGGATAAATAACCATCGAAACCATCTGTTCTTTATATTTGGAAAAACATTTTTAATAGGTATGGAAATGCAGGCTTTGGAAACTAGCCGAATTTATCATTATTTCACACGTGAGACGTTTCAACAACTTTCAACTATCGAGGACAAAAAAACGTTGGTTTTCAAAAAAACGTTGGGAATATAATGTACAAGTTCCTCAAGTGGTTCACTTTTTTAACGCGGTGAGAGAGTGGCGACGCGGTTTTAAACCTTTGGAGCGTGGCAAAGGTAAAGATGTGCGAGTAAGTAAAGTGTAACGAGACCTGCTAAATCGACAGAGCGAAACCACCACCTTCTTTACCGGACAATGCGTTGTTCCTACTGCCATTATATTATTCCTTCTCACTCGCGAAGGAGAGAAGAAGCGCGCGGCCTCCCCCCACTCCTCCACCTCGTTTCGCTTCGGTTCACACGATTTGTATTCGCGTTCGAGCGCTCGATTACTCTCGTACACTCGCGTCCTCCTGTCTTCAAAAGATGATCGAATCTCCTCTCCTCCGTATATTTTTCACGTTCACGTTATTTTGATTTCTCCTGGTTGCAACGTGTCGGTGAAAATATACGAGATAGAAAGAGAGAGAGAGAGAGAAAAACAGAGAAAGAGATATCGTTTTATACACTCGGCCATGCTTCTTAAATACCAAGCGTGTCGGCGAATAATTCGGCGAGCCTCTCCTCGGTTGTGTGGGGACCTTTTTCACGTTACGCTACCAGGTGAATCCGCGTTCAGAAGCCGCAAGGTTACGAAGGTGGAAGATCAGGGGAGAGGGAAAGAGGGGGAAGGAGAAGGAGAGGGAACGAAAACACGCGACGTGTACCTTCCCTTCGTGGCTCTATGCTCGTGGTTGTATCAGATAGGAGGACGGTTAACGAGGCACGAGTTGGATTTTTAAGTCGCCAAGAAGACAATGTGCTCCGTGGTGGGAGGGAAAGAGGCAGAGAGAGAGAGAAAGAGAGCTCCTCTTTCTTCACCCTGTCCTCCCGCCTCCATCGGCCTTTACCGGTTTTCTGCATCAGATATCGTATATGCCC